GCTGTTACTATATGCTTACTATATTGGACAGCAGAATTCTTTTTTTTTTTTTTAATGAGGTCAAGAAGAACATTTATAAAAATTCCATGAGAATATTGTAGCCTGCAATATTGTATGTAACATACAGTACATAATTTATTAAACCCAACCAATGTGCTCAAAGCTATAGCATATTCAGATAGCTATTAAACAAATGCATAGAACGTGATTTGATTATTTGGGATGGTGACTAATATTTTCATAGGATACATGTTCTCACTGGACTGGTGTCCTTGATGATGGGTATAAACTTATTTTGCAGGTCCTAGAGTGATTAAGGATGTGAGGTCAGGTCCTAGAGTGATTAAGTGAAGGTCCTAGAGTGATTAAGGATGTTGATATACTAAATAGGAACGGTAAATGTCACCTAAAAATTTTAAAGCTATGGTCTCTTAACTTGATTCTGGTTGGCACTTGAATTCAGCTACATTTACCTGTCAATGTACTATTCTAGTACCCTCTCTAAATATTATCAGGGCTGCAAAGTGGTGAGAAGTATTTTGCATACGTGATCATAACCAGCATTATAAGTAAGCTTATTTTTCTCAGTACAGGAATACGTGGCTCAAAGACCTACTGGAATGTAAAGATAGTGAAGAACCTTAATCATACAGCCCCAAAGTATTCAAAATACATTGTAAAAGCCTCACTGTTAAGGAGGGAAGTGTTTCTTTCAGCTTTATAATTACAGTGTAGACTCAGAATGCAATAATTGCACTCGCTGCTAAAAACAGGATATCCATACCAAATACGTTCCTCTTTGATTTCTACTGTTGTGACAGTTCCTAAGAAGGGAGCTCCTGTTTCTGGCTGTTTTTTTTTTTTTTTTAAATAAATCCCCCTTGGACTTTGTCTCCTATTCCTCATTCACCTTGAGAAGTTTTCCTTAACAAATTCCTTGGTCTTCACAGAACAGCTTTGCACTAGGGCCAGCTACAGTTTGACACTGGCTAATGAAACGTGCTCCAGTCCCTCTAAAGAGTAAAGGTGATCTGTTTCTGAACTCACACTAGTTAGTATGCATTGCTCTCTACCCTCCAGACTAATAAAGCATTCCACCAGCCTTTGCTTTCCCAGACCTTGCAATAACCTGTTACTTTTTTGGTATCCTCCATACAAGCCTTCACTGAAATTTTCCAGCTCTTGCACAAGATGTGATTTTGGTGCCTTCTCTCTTTCC